TTCAATAAAGACGAAGTCACCAAAAATAAAGATCAAGACAAAATAATCAAGGAAGAAAAATGTATTAGCATCATAGAATAAGCAGAAAAATTCATCAACAAAGTGAAAAGGACACTATAAAAAAGTAAAGTCAAAGTACAGATACCTATTGATATTAGAGAACCCTTGGACACCATATATAATTCCTGGAAGAAGAAAGTTGAAAAGTTTATGGATAAAGTTGAACCAAATAAAAGAAGTAAACACAAAATGTTAGAATGGTCTCAGAATTTTGCTAAAGATATTAATTCAAACAAACAAGATAATTATGAAAAGTGCTATCAAAGTGATATAAGCACCTTCAAAGATAAGAAAAAGGCTATTGAATGGATATTAGAATCTGCAAAAGAGCCTCAAAATTCAAATAAAATAAACAATACTATAACTGAAACAAGAGTAATTATATTAGAACCTAAAAATAATAAGAAGCTGTGGTTAGAGATACTGGTCAGAAGAACAATCATAATCGAGACCAAAGTATATAGAACCTTCGAATGCCTACTTTTGCAACTACCAACAAGATGTATATTTGATCCTGGAGGAACAATTTTGTTAGAAAATTATGATGTGTTATCTATTTTACTAATTCTAGTATTTTATTAAAAAAATCTTTGAGACATGTATATAGCCTAGTACTGGCAAGTTTAATAAGTACTATGCAAGAAATTTGAACTATTTGAATAGAATAGATCTCTTTATACTTATTCTTATAACAATCAATTGGGTCAAATGACTTTCAAGATATTGTTTAAAAAAAAAAAATTTTTTGCATTCAAAATAGCAAAAAGCTCTTTATATCCCTTTAAATCTGACGTTAAAGAAAATTCAAGCTAGGTTGTCAGTGTCCTAGTATATAGGTTGAAAATCTCTACAAATAACTTAAGAGCAACTTGGAACTTAATTGAACAATTATAATTTTATTTACAAAAAATTATTACATTGGAACTGGAATATCATCGATCAAATCATGCAAAGTCTTTACCTCAGCCCTTAAATCATTTCTCTCCCTTACCAACAACGCATAATCTTTATTCCTCTTTTGATACTCCTGATTAATCTCCAAAATCTGCAAATCTCTATCATTTACTTCTCTCGTCAACTGAACCACTTCTCTCACCATAAAGACTGCATTCCCTCTCAACTCAACTACCTGTGCCTTCAATGTTCTAACTTTACGTTGCAACCTATATAATTATTATTATTACTACTATTTTATTATTATTCTATTATTATATATTATTATTATCTTTGATTTTCATTCTAAAGCATATCAATTGTTTCGTATAAGACACTTTGGCCATTTCTTCTTTGAGAACGAGTAGTTTGATAATTGCGAGACATTTTTCTTATTTACTATTATTATTATAATTACAATATTATTATTTTATTTACTTTTATTATTATT